CCCCGGCCGGCCTTCCAGGGCGAGCGGCGCACGGAGTGGTTGGTGAGGCGCGAGGGCCACAGGCAGAAGCCGTCATGGTGCTTCGCCATCAGCACCACCAGCTGGGGGGAAGGGGGGAACTAGAGGGGTGAGATGAGCATGAGGGGCGAGAGGGTTGAGGAGAAGCACGCATAGAAAAGATGAAGGCGAGGGGGGGCTTGTGAAGCTTGGCTGAGCTCACAAGAGGTGTGGTGGTTGTGTGTATGTGTGGGACATGCTAACATGAGGTATGCAGCAGGGGGCACACGGCGTGGCGCAGCTGGTTGTTTGAATTACCTGCTCAACACTAACAAAAGCACCGCGCCTGCAAGCACTAGGTGCAGGCTCGACACCGCATGCTCTCCACGTGCCGTCTCCCGTGTCACATGCCCACCGTCCACAGTTCACCAAATGCAGCCGCTCACAAACACCACCTTCCACTGCACGTGCTCCCACCTCGCGTGCTCCCCCCTCGCGTGCTCCCCCTCGCGTGCTCCCCCCTCGCGCGCTTCCCCATCCGAAAATTGACGAGTTCCGAAACTAACTTTCGAGGGCTGAAAACTAACTGGAGCACAAATTATTGGTGAACTTGCTTTTTGACGCGACTCACTCAAGGTCGCAGGCTGCGATTTTCCAAATTATGGGAACCAATCGAGGTAAAGTCAGATAAGGCTCGGCAATGCATTAGATTCGTTTATCCCAGGGGCTCACGCTTCGAGATTGAGCGTCGAAATTTCCCGCGCAGCTCATCGGCCAATAGCACTGTGCCGCATCTTGTTTTATTATTGGTTCTAATTCTGACACTCACTCCGTGTCACTCAATATTGTACATAGGGGTTATCGGATGGTTTTGTTTTCAGTTCGTTAAACATGGAATGCTTTTTCAGGAATTTGTGCTAATATTGTTCGATTAATTTAGATAACAGTGTACATGTTTCGTTAATGGGCCACTTTGAAGACTGGTTCATATATTATTCACAATTCTTTTCTTTTAAATGGATTTCGTAAAAAAAAAAAAATTCGTTACTGCAAATCCTGATTCTATCTAAATTGTTTCCTCATTATATGGAAATAGGTAGGGCTGTTAAAATAAACTTCATGATCCAGAGTGTACTCTGCAGGAAATGCAGCCAATTATAGAATACCATGTCTCATGGTGTCAATATTTTTTACAGGCCTAAATTACAACTGCACTAAGAAACAGTACACACAGGCCTAAATAACAACTGCCCCGTCAAAGAGCCATTAGAAACAGAGGTTACAATGTCAAATGTTCCTAACCCAAACCATACTTCCACGCCGTCAGATCTCTTCCAAACTCTGCGGGCTGCACGTTTGACATATGCAGGGAGTGATGAAAAATACAGAACACAACATAAGCGTAGTGAGATCAGTATGATGGAATGATGTAGTGGATCTCATGCATAAAAAAAAGCACGTACTGTGCAAAAGCAACGAACCTGCCGAGATGCGCCGATGCCCGCATATACGACCTGGGAGAGGGGCAAGAAGAGGGGAAAGAAAAGGGAAAGTGGGGGCGGAGAGGGCACGAGGAGGAGGGGGTTTTAAAAGCATGTGGTTGGCGAACGACGGATGACGTACAACGCACGCATAATGTGAAACATCCCCTCTCTTCCCTTCCCCCCATCCCCCCTCCCCCTACCCCTCCCCCCTCCTCCCCTCTCTCTCCGTAGCCTCATTCTCATTCTCACCTCGGGTTGAACCAGCGCAAGTCGAACCCCTGCGCCACCCGAACGTACCGCACTGAGCGACTGTCGTCCTCAGCTCGTCTGCCGCCACTAGCGACATCCGCTGCTGAAGCCACTCGTCGAGGTGCACCGTAGCGAGAGCGCATGGACGAGGTGCACGGGAGCGAGCAAACGCGCGCGCGAGGTGCACGGGAGCGAGCGAGAGTGCGCGCAAGAGGTACACCTGAGCGACGGCGCCACGCCAGTGCTCTCTGCGAACAAAAAATCGGGTTGAGGGGGGATTGGGAAAGAGGAACGCGGGAAAACTGGGACGTGGGATTAGTGGAAGGGAAAAAGGGAATGTAAAGAGAGAGAGAGAGAGAGAGAGAGAGAGAGAGAGAGAGAGAGAGAGAGAGAGAGAGAGAGAGAGAGAGAGAGAGAGAGAGAGAGAGAGAGATGCTTCCGGTAGTCACGCTCTGACAAAAAAAAAAAAAGAAACTTAAGTACGAACAGAATACGGAAAATATCAAGAAACTTAAGTAGGAACAATAATGTAACTAGGAACAAGAAATGAAAACAGAAGAGAAATGTCGAACACTACTAGACCAGAAGACGACGTTAAGAACAGCGCGACGCCTGGCACATGGCAGATCGACGAAACCGGGACGATTCCGTGGCGGGGTGGAAATTAAGGAGTGAAATGGGCCGACAGGAGAAACGAGAGCATTCAAAAAGTTGAAGCACAGAATAGAAATGCACTCAGATATACACTTGTGAGTGTGGTGAGGTGACAGAGGCTGGTGTGGAGGGTTGGGGGGGGGGGGGGGGGGGGGGGGGGAGAATCGAGATGGAAGAGGTGTTCGACAGGGGAAGGCTGCAATTGTGGATGGTCAAGATTTGACAGGTCTAAAATTGAAGTTAAACAACATTACCTGTACTGTGTCGTGGTTTAGATTGGCGGAAATTGATGTGTCAACACGGTGAACCCGGAGAACCGTCGACTCAGTAACACAGTCAAACTCAGTAACACGCTAGCAAACTAAGGGCTTCCATCTAGCCAGAGTTATGCGTTGTCAACGAGAAAATCAATTCCAAAAACATGAAGGTCGCGTATTACCTCACTCAATAATAACACTTAGTTATGCTTTAGCACAAAATATAAACTTAATTTATCCAATTGTTGAAGAATCATAAACAAGGACAGCACATGTCAGCACTACTAGTAGTAATATGAGTATTAGTAGTAGTAATAGTAGTAGTACTACTACCACCACTACTGCTGCTGTTGCTGCTGCTGCTGCTGCTTCTGCTGCTACTACTACTACTACTACTACTACTACTACTACTACTACTACTACTACTACTACTACTACTACTACTACTACTACTACTACTACTACTACTACTACTACTACTACTACTACTACTACTACTGTCAGAATGTTGTATTTGTCTAGCCTGCAGTGGGGTACTCTATAGCGAGTACAGCCCAATCTAGGGTTTGCTATTTGTATCTCAACTGCTGCTAGTCCAAACCCTCTTTCTGCTTCTAAACTTTCTCCTACTACTTCTGACATGCTATCAGAGCAGGTCGACCCCCTTGGGTCGATCCTGTGGGTGGGCCCACCACCTAATGCTTCCGCTGCTGTTCTACTTGTCGCGCGCCTCGGTCGCGCGACGCCTCCTTCCTGCCGTACGCTCGGGGCGTGCGGCGGTTTTCTGCCTACCGTGCGCCCCGAGGCGCGCGGCGGTTTCCCACCGTCGAAGTGCCCCCCGTCGCCCGTCGAAGCGCCCCCCCCCCCCCGTCGCCCGTCGAAGCGCCCCCGTCGCCCGTCGGAGCGCCCCCCGTCGCCCGTCGAAACGTCCCCGTCGCCCGTCGAAGCGCCCCTGGGACCCGCGCGCGGCCCGTACGGGCTGCGCCAGGCCCGCGCGCGGCCCGTACGGCCTGCGCCAGGCCCGCGCGCGGCCCGTACAGCCCGCGCGCGGCCCGTACGGGCTGCGCCAGGCCCGCGCGCGGCCCGTACGGGCTGCGCCAGGCCCGCGCGCGGCCTCGTCCCGCCTGCGGCAGACCCGTGCGCGCGCCTCGTCCGTCCCCCAAGCTTCTGTCGGCGCCCCACCCCCGCTACTGCCCGCGTTCCTGTGTTAGGGTTTGGGGGTGGCGGGTGTGGGGGTGCCGGTTGTGTGCCCCGTCCCCTCCTTCTCCTCCTCCTCCGTCTCCCGCTGCTGCAGCTGCCGCTCAGGGGGGTGGGTGTGTGGGGAGCCGACGGAGTGGTACTAGGGGGGTGAAAGGGGAGTGGAGCTAGGGGCGAAGCAGGGGGTGTGTGTCGAGGGGTGTGGGACTGTTGGGGGAGGTTGAGCGGAGGCCGCCGTCGTGTCGTCTGCAGCGCCTGTATTCCGGGGTTTTTGATAGCCACCGGTAGCTCAGAGAGCCGGTTGCACCTGTCGCCCGTGGGTCCGTTGCTCCTGTCGCTGCTGATCAGACGCAGAGCCTGTTACTCCTGTATTCCGGGGCCCTTGCTCCCGGTAGCCACTAGAGCTGCACCAGAGCCGTCTGTTGCCCGTGTGTCTGCAGCTTCAGTCGTCGCCTCCACTCTTCTCTCCTCTCGCCAGCCCTCCTCCTCCTCACTTGCCCTCTGTGACTGCCTCTAGCTTTGCTCATAAAATGTGAACTACTATTATGACTGCTTGTTGTGCTGATTACACCCCACTTTGGCTATGGGGGTGTGTCAGAATGTTGTATTTGTCTAGCCTGCAGTGAGGTACTCTATAGCGAGTACAGCCCAATCTAGGGTTTGCTATTTGTATCTCAACTGCTGCTAGTCCAAACCCTCTTTCTGCTTCTAAACTTTCTCCTACTACTTCTGACACTACTACTACTACTACTACTACTACTACTACTACTACAACTACTACTACTGCTACTACTACGTTGAAATAGTGACGTGTTGCGCACAGGCCTATACTTGCACAAATTCAGGCCAGCAAACGCACAAACAAGCGTCACATGCTACATAGTTGTGCGAACGAGATTAAACCAGTTCATACAGCAAGCCAATAGGATGTACTATCTGAATGTGTGAAGAAAAAATGCTAAAAACGACATCCAATTGTTGAAACGGTGACATGTTGCGCACATGCCTATCCTTGCACAGATTCAGGCCGGCATACGAACAAACAAGCATCACGTGTTGCGTAGTTGGGCGAACGAGGTCAAACGAGTTCCTATGGCAAGGTAATAGGATGGCTACTTGAATGTGTGAAGAAATAGTGCTAAACAACGTCCAAATGTTGGCGTCAGGGATGGTGCCGATGAACATGCCGCCCGGCCGCAGCAGCGCCGCGATGTTGCGCAGCCCGCTGCTTGGTCTCGAAGGAGTAGTGCAGTGCGAATTGCGTGGAGCAGATGTAAAACGGCGCCCACGGCAGCAACTCCCGGCCCAGCGCCACGCCGAAGCAGTCCGCACATGCCAGCTTCGCCGGGAACCGCATCTGCCGCCGGTCGCCATCCGCCCCGTCTCCCCCGGCGAAGGAGCGGTGCGAGTCGCCATTGTAGCGCGCCATGGCGTCGTACACGGAGCCCTCCGCCACGTCCACGCCCAGGTAGAAGCCCACGTTGACGCGCGCCCACTTGGTCAGGTCGCCGCCCTTGCCGCACGCCAGGTCCAGCACGTGCGCGCCACAGTTGGGGTGGGTGTGGAGGCGGATGAGCACGGACTTGATCCAGTTGTTGAGCTTCTTCAGGTGGATGATGGGACTCGCCTCGCGCTCGTGCCGCTGCTGGTTGTCGCGCCGGCTGTAGTGGTCCGCCACCACGTGCACCAGCAGCCCCTCCGCCTCCGCCCCGCCTCCCCCGCCCTCACCTGCCTCCATCCGCTTCGCCGGCCGCTCATCCCCCTCTGCTGCCTCGCCCGCGCCTCGCTCCTTCCGCTTCACGCCACTCGCATGCTCCTGCTCCCCCCCCTCGTTTACAAGCCACTCCTCTCCGCTTCTGTCACTCCCCGTCCCACCTCCCTCGCCATCACTCGACTCGTTATAGTCACTCCCGTCGTCCTCGTCAAAGTCCAGGGTCACGCCCAGCCCCGTGCCCCCATCCGCCATCCCCCCCTGCTCGCCGCCCTCGCGCGCATCGCCCCGCGGGTCTCGTCCCGTCGACTCCTCGCCACCGCTGCCCTTCACATCCCCTCCCAGCCCTTCCCCGTCATACCCGCCTTCCTTCTCCTCCTCTCTCTCCCCATTGCCTTCCCTCCTCTCGTCCCCAGCGCCTCGATCTTCACTCTCCCCGTCGCTGTGCGATGACCGCGACGACGTTGACGATCTAGACGACTGCGACGACGACGACCGCGACGGCGATTGCGACTGCGAGTCGTCGCGACTGGGGGAGTCGCGGCGGTCCGTGCCGGCCGGAGACGCGGCTTCAGCAGAGTCGTTGCCGGTCGCCTCCGCGGCGCCGTTGGCGGCGTGGCGGGCAGGCTCCTCCCAGTCGTCGGCGTCGCTGCCGTCCTCCAGGCTCGCCACGCGCTCCAACCCGAACCCCGCCAAATCCATCCGGCGCCCGTCGCCTCCTCAACCGTTGTGGCCCACTCAAGCCTTACACTCGCTACCGCCGTGGCTGTGTTGCACGCTCGCTCCTCTCTCCCACGTCGTCAGCTCCAGCTTCTTCGTTCGTTATGGGGTGCAAGGGTAGTGTGATCACGCACATAAGGACGCGGAACCTCGATCCTGCGATCGATCCTGCGCAGGATCGAGTTTTTTAGGACTGGCAAGTGCGAGACTGGCGTGACGGGTGAGAGAAGGTTGATGACGCACTGGATGAATGGTACCTGCCGCGGCTAGGAGGGTGCAGATGCGTTGGGGATGCAAATAGTCGATGATCTTGGTGTTCCAGGCAACGTCATGAAGTCGCATCGCGTAAAAAATGGCTACGCGCCGCGACGGGAAGAAATAGCAGCGCGACGGGCCCGCTAGTCGTTTCCAGGCGTAAGGAAGGGGAGAAAACCCTAGCGAGAGGGAAGGGGAATCGTGGCGTGAGGAGTTTTCTGCACGAGCTAACCCGTGGAGGCTTAGCTTCTTTCACGGATTCCTTGCCTGGACGCTCCGGCGACGGAAATATCTCTATTATTGTCCTTGTTACAAGACCTTGAAATGTGTACGTTACGCAGGTACGGGTCCGTTATAAGTTTTACTAAAACATAGTGCACGGAAGATTTCTATAAAGAGAACGTGATTACAGAATGACGAAACAATGAAGAAAGCGAGAATATATAGGGTGAAACTACCTAGGCGAGAACCTCTAGGTGTGCGTGGCTCGGAAGTGTCGCGATCGGTGCGGGCGACTCGGAATTGGCTCTGTGCGAAAGTATTGGCCGAGCCACACTTGACGCGAACTGCTCGGGGCTGTCCTCGCTAGGAGCAGCCTCTACAGTAATGAATGTATATTCATTACACTCTCCCACCTTCTAAATAAGGTGCCCTTATACGTAGCCGAGTCTTGCAGTAGCGTGAAAACTGCAGATCTCCGGTTGAAACTGATCGCATGGTGTAGAAGCCCGTTGACTTTCGAGCTGACGTGAGGTTGACCAGTTGACCAGGCGGATTTTGAAATGGTTGGATGTTAGTCGTTGAATTTCCCAAATGTCGAGCTGGCGGTTGAAATCGAAAGGCGAGTTGAAGTCGCGAACAGGGCTGTCGTTTCATTTTAAGCCTCCCTGATTCCGGGGAAATTTCCCCTCCTGTATTATGGGTGCATATTTTCCACTAGACTACTCTGATTGCTCATTGTTGAAAAGTAGTTAACTATGATTGCTCAGGGTCGAGAATTGTGTCAAGATTATAAGCCACTAGGGCTTAAGATTTAGGCTTAGGGTACATTCCTGCCTTGACACTTGTGTCTCAATGCCTATTAACAGGGCGATTCTCGACTACGTGGTTGAGGGCATGAAGTACTACATGCAGCCTTACGTGGACCGTTACTACATTACCCACGAAGTGGCAAACCTTGTGCCGATCAAGTACCTGGCGAGTGCACCCTCGTACATAGACCTTTCTCACCTATTCGGGTTGTCGAAGACATTGTGCCACGAGCTCGTCGATGTGTGGCTGATGCATTTCGCCATGGTCTTCAAACAACAGTGGGTGCACTTCCCCACCCGCGACGACCTTGACGAAATGGCCGAGGAGTTTCGCGCCGTGAAAGGGGTACCTGCAGTAGTAGGGGCTATTGATGGGACACACGTACACATAAAGGGGATGGAGGGACACAGGCAAGAGTACTACACACGAAAGTCCGCATACGCCGTGACGTGTGATGCGCGCGGCATCATCTGGGACTTCCTTATTGGATACCCTGGTAGCGCACACGATCAACGCGTATTCATGGACAGTGCGTTATATGAGAGGTTGCAAAACGACAACATTGTGCCGTATCAAATAGTCGGTGATGCAGCCTACCCCCTTCGGGAGTTCTGCCTAACCCCCCTGCATGCACCCCGCGAAGGCCTAATAGAGGATTGGGAGCAGTGCTTCAATTACTGCCAGAGCGCGACGCGCATGGCGGTGGAGCGCTGCATCGGCGCCTTGAAAGGCAGATGGAGGCTCTTCGCAGGCCGCAATGACTGCAAGCTATGGCGCGTCCTTGCAGGGGCGTGTTGTTGTGTGAGACGATGGGGGAGGTGAGGCGTGTCTTGCCACGGAACCGGGATCCGTGGTGGACCCGCGGCGCAGCAGCAGAATTCAAGTGGGAGCCTGCCGTTCCGTGCAACCAGGACCCACTCCGTAAAAGGCGGAAGAGGCTCGGTGAAGCGTTGGAGTCTTCCTACGTTACACAGCGTCGCCGCGAACCCACACTTCCTCGGCCTCGTCCGGAGTAGCTCCGCCACCACCTTGCTCACCGCGACGGAACCAGACTCCGTCGTCGCCTTCGGTGGCGGTCGGTGCGGGCTGTGTGGCCGCATCCGCGGGGGCTCCGTTGATGGTTGGTGGCGGTGGGGCCGGCCACTAGTTGCGGGCGCGGGCAATCTCGGCGTCCTGCTGCATCCAGGCGCGGACGAGCCCCTCCAGCTTTGCCATCGCATCCGCGTGGCAATCCTTGATGATGTCGGAGACAAGCTTGGCCGCGGCCATGGTAGCCGTCTCCGCAACCCGCGGGCGCTTAGAGGGAGGCGTCATCGGAGGGGGGGCTGCACGTTCAAAAGTTAAAGGAGGTCCGGATGAGTTTGCCGTGTTGTTGTGCCGTATGACGACAAGGTTAAATGACAGTCATGTGGCAGATATTTGCGTACAAACAAACCAAACGAACAAAACACTAGAAAATGGCTCACCCGTGAATGTCGGCGTTGAGGTGCATGGCGCGGACGTCGACGTCACCACGAACCCGCACGGCGCATTCACGTGTGTGGCCCCACCGGCGGCGACGGCGTGCGGCGCCGCGACTGCACGGTTGTTCTGAAATAACACCATGTACGGCCACCACGGCGGCTTACACACCACCCCGTTGCCGGACGCCTTGTCCGCCTTCTGCAACTGCTTGTACATGGATACAAGATTGCTTCACTGTCTCTGCACAGCGTTGACGCCGCGGACCCATCCGGTATTCTCGGTCTCGATGTGGCGCATGAGGCAGGCCCAATACTGGGATCCCTGCTTCCCAAGTAGCGGCTCCAGCTCATCCTTCATGAACCAGCGGGCGGCCACGAGAATCGTGCTCTCCTTGAGCGACCACAGACTGCGCTTCACCGTCATGGGGTCCCGGGTCTTTGGCGCGCGTCGAGGTGGCTCCCCGCCCTTAGCGGCGCTCTTGTCTCCCGGTGCCGCCTTAGCATGACCGCGGCGAACAGGCGGAGTTGCGGGCTGCGATTCTTCCGGTGCATCGTCGTCGTCGCTCTCCGCGTCAGAGTCGGACATGCCCTTGTCAGGCTCTTCTCCGGAGTCCGCTTCGTTGTCCGTGCCATCTGTCTCCTCGTTGTAGTCGGCGTCGTCCTCGTCCTCTTCATATGTGTTAGCCTCCGAACTGCGCGAAGAAGCCATCCGGTTGGCGTTACGGCACCCGCGCATCGGGATGTCACGTGGGGCCTGGTAAGAGGTGTCGCCACGCGAAGGAGTGTCCACTGGCTGCGGGCCAGACGGCTTTCGCCCAGCGGACAGCTGCTTGTTCATCCATGCAATATACGGGATCTCATAGAGATCCCGCGGGGTTACGTTGGCGGATTCAGCGGCGCTCTTGCGCTTACGAGCCATGGCGTACAAAGGGCTTGAGAGCTTGCGGGTCCTAGATACAAGAAACACAGAATGGACTACCAACAAGATGGGATTGGAGTCATCCTTGGAGCAGGTTGGAGAGGTGGCTCTATATCTGTGGTGGTTTCGTCGAGCAGCCTTGCGTGTAACACATGCAAGGAAACCCCTTTCGATGCTGCCCAGGCAGGGCGGGTTTGTTTCCCGCGCTAAACTGTCAAGTGGTCCAGCGTCCAGGTGCATGTGGCAGGGCAGTGAAATTGCTTGACATTGGTCGTTGCGTGCGATTTCACGGAGGTGACGGGGCCTCGTCCAACTCGTCCGCGACACCAGCGCAAATGACGCTGACCAATGTAAAATAGGGTTACATTCGCATTAAGGTGACCCGCGTTTGTGACAGTGCATGTTCTATGCAGTTTTTGAGCGTCACAATACGTTTGAGACAGGGGCATAGTGATATGGAACAAATTCCACAGTGTACAGAAAAGGAACCCGTGTGCAGCATAAACACACGCGAGTATCAACGTGCTCCGTGGGATACACTTTCAAATGTGTACGCACCACGACCTCCGCTGTTGTGATCTTAGCAGCCACCATGCTGCCTGGTAGCGCATCCATGAGGTCGCCAAGGGCCGTGCGGTAGGTACCCACCACCGCATCTCCCTCCTCCGCCGGCCGCATCGTGCGGCCCTTCCTCGTGAGCACGAGCTTTATCGTCTCAACAGCCTGCGGGCGTGGTCGGCAATGGGTATGTAGCGGGGGCGTCCGGAAACACTGGTGACGTGTCCCACGATCATACGGTCAGCGATGGGCTATGCGACGCACTGTCTCACCTCGCGCAGCGCCGTCGCATACTGACGCCCGCCACCCGCGTCCTGTGCCACCTCTCTGCAGATCTCTCTCTGCACCTCCTCCTCCACGATGCGCCTGGGGATGTCCTTCCAGTTGCTGCCCCTGATTGGGATCTTGACCGTCCCCTTGTGGGTATGCTCCCACATCTTCGTGCTGTAGTGGTGCGGCATTCCGCGCATGATCACATTGTCCAGCAAGTGGACAATCATGTGAATCTTTGAAAAGCGCCAATTAGATGCATGGTCGGGGTACGCCTGCGGCAGAATCTCCACCAGCCTGTGGCACAGACCATCACTGCGCCAGAACAAAGATACGCATATGAAGGAATGCGCAGTGACTGAAGCCACCCACCAGTGCTTGCAATAATGGTTGAAGCTACGTTAGTTAAACCTACGTAGGCCAGTCTACATGCTTGATGGCATGTGCACGTGCGATGGCGAGCGAGAAGTCCGTGTGTTCGCTGACACCCAGAAACGCCTTGTAGAACGTTGCGTACATCCTGAACGCACGCACGCCGAGCGCGGCCAGTTCTCCCGCCTTTCCAGCTTGCAGCGCAGACTTGTCTGCCACAAGAATTAGCATCACTTGCATCATGCTGCGGTGCTCGAATGCTGCGTAGTTTACCCCACTCATGAAATAGGAACTACCTCCGGGTAAACGCAAAAGAACACTCCGTGTCTCTCCTTTGGTTGTCTTCTTGCGCCTGCAGTGGTTGAGCGCCCGGGAAGGGGTGCACTCAGGGTTTAACATCGGATAACCCGGCTCCATCAACAGATGCATACACTCCACAAGGTGGGCACGGCATGCAGCTCTATGTTACGCCAAGCTGCCGTGTATACTGCACGACTAACCTCTCGACATCTCACCTCTCCGGCTTGGAAAGCACCGCGATGTGGTTCTCCAGCAAGTGCAAGGCCATCCCCGAGTCCAGCACGTGCATGATGTTTGCGACCGTTGCACCAAACGGGTTGCCCCACTCAGTCTTCGAGAGATTCCACCGCGATAAGACGCAGTGCATGGGGCCAGCAGGGTGGGATGAAAGGGTGATTCATCGTCCCGAGCGAGGCTGGCTTATGAATAGATCTCCACCATCCCATCGTTCTGCACACACATACCTCCACAGGATGGGTTGACCACTCAGTCTGAATCGCTTCGGCATCTTTCACAGTCTTGCACTCAAGCATGTTGCGCAGCACGTGCATCTCGGAGTCTACAGTCCTCAGAGTGGCCTGATGCTCCAAGTCGCGAAGGAGGTCATTTGGTACGTAGCATGTGCAACATGGCCGCTTGGTGCCTGTTTGCAACGTCGGGGTAACACGGCACTGTTCAATGAAGTCACCCGGGTAACCAAAGAAGCATGGGACGGCCTTCACAGGCTCACCCTGCGCGTCGGTGACATAGAACACCCTCAACGGAGCGCTGGGCCGGGAGGGATGTGAGAGAGGGGGACAAGCGAGAACGACTTTGTTTAACGGCACAGCGAGCGTGTGAATTCCGATGCGCAGCACAGGCGGCAATATCTGGAGGACGTACATACCTGGAAGACTCACGCATGAGGGGCCCCAGAATGATCCGAATTGCCTCCTGAAAAACTCTAGCTTTCTCGGTCGACGTAGCCCACTCGGAGGGGAATGGTAGCACAGCAGCCAGGACATGTCCAGGTTCCGTCTTCCGCAACTCGGTCCTTAACTGGGACAAGCGCAAGGCCCGCCTGTCGAACTCTGCTGGCGGCAACGCGGAGGTGGTGAACGGGCTACTCTAGGTCGCCGAGAAGGCAGTGGCGCAGGCGATCCAAGACTTCAAGCCCAAGTACGATGCTGATGCCCAGGCGTGGGTCTGGGGGGAGCACGGTCTGATGCTGTCCTCGTGCGGCCTAGAGCACTTGGTTCCAGGCCGTTATGCGCAGAGGGCGCCAGTTGCGGAGGAAGGTGGTTCGGTTTCTGGTGGTAGTGCATGAAGTAGGTGCAAGTGACGAGCGGCGTCCCTATGTTGACAGGAGCATGTGCTGCCTTTACCTGTTCCGCTGTTGGTGTAACATGCATGTTAGTAGGCTATGTTTGCGGGGCTAGTTTGGCTCTAGGTGGGAATGTAGCAAAATGGTGTTTGATGGCCGTGTGTGGACGGCAATGCCGTCGGTGGGTTGTGTTGCATGCTGGGTTTGTTGTGTGCATTTTGGTCGTGTTTTGCGACATGGAATAAATCGGTTTTAAGCGGGCATATATGTGTAGCGTGACGCGGTGTGCCATTTGCGCGCACGCATTGACAGGTATTCACAATAACGCGAACCATTTCGGCGCTAAACGGATACTTTCCAATGTCGCGATCGGAGGGTGGTACGACGACGCGACGCGGTGTGATGGTCGGGTGGTATTCACGCCGCCTGTGTCAGAATCCCAGCCACTAACCACTGGAATAAAAGGGCTTGTTTATATAGCGGGTGAGTGCGCCCATAACCCCCCAGGCCGACATGCCTGTAACCCTTCCCTAGGATCATCAGGGATCCCCAGTGGACCTCTGACACCCCCCCGCACTGGGATGCCCGAGGTGCACACACCGGGAATCGAACCCGAGACCTTCGCTCTGATACCATGTCAGAATCCCAGCCACTAGGATAAAAGGGCTTGTTTATATAGCGGGTGAGTGCGCCCATAACCCCCCAGGCCGACATGCCTGTAACCCTTCCCTAGGATCATCGGGGATCCCCAGTGGACCTCTGACAGCCTGAACCGCCATCGCGCCGTGGAGCAGCCACGAGGGACTCGTTACGCGTGTGTGCAACGAGGCAGATTGAGTGTACGGGGTGTGTGTAACAGCGCGGCGAAGTATCCGGCTGTATTCGGTGGGCTTCTTGGTTGGGTGGCTTGTGCGGAGTGTGCGGTTGACGGCGGGGTTGCGATTTGGAGAAATGCGCGGGCGACGGCGAGTGGAGCCAATCCTCGTTTCATTGGTTATCACCTGGTTACGCTATTCTGCGGCTTGATTGGGCGTGGCCGTGGTGTCCGGAACAGGTGGCCCTAACAGTGTGCTGTCGGAATCTCGTTGTTGCAGCTCGACCTGTTGGTGTAGTAATGGTGCTACCACTGAATCTCCTTCTGGTCTCAGCCTGCCTTTCTTGGGGCTCTCAGCACTCTGTCGCTCTTTTCCTTGAGTACATCTGCTTTCTTCACCTAATAATATCCCTAGCCTCGCCGGAGAGGGAAGCTCAAACCATAGCTCGGCTGGCTAGGACCTGCGATAGGATAGTCAGTACAGTGCTTGCGAGGGTTGGTTTCTCGTGCTTGACCTTCGTTTGGCGGAATTTAGAAGTAGTAAGCATAAGTGTGAAAACATTCACGCAAGCACCTCATCTACACTATTTGTTTTCTATCAACGACGGGTTACCGCTATGCCAACGGTTCCCTTTCGCCCGCCAATTCATGTTTTGGAGTTCGTTCGCTTCGGCTTCCGCCAGCTCGGTTCTTATCCTCCCTACTAAAGACTTCGCTAATCCTACCTGTCACAAAGATACATCTACTGCCTACACAAAGATTAGAAACGTGACAGCTGTCGGAATCTCGTTGTTGCAGCTCGACCTGTTGGTGTAGTAATGGTGCTACCACTGTATCTCCTTCTGGTCTCAGCCTGCCTTTCTTGGGGCTCTCAGCACTCTGTCGCTCTTTTCCTTGAGTACATCTGCTTTCTTCACTTGCCCCTGCCGCGGCTGTCTCTGCGCCCCCGCTGACTGCCGCTGGACCTCGTTGTCTTACTGTTGGCTCGGCTGTGTCCTAGCCAGCCCTCTGGCCCGGGCCACGTTCGTGCAGTGGTCCGTTCGCTTCTGGCCCTTGTCTCCCACAAGTACTACCACCCCTGAATCCTTCACCTTCTTGACTGTCCAGCGCTCTGTGCTGAGACCGATGTCCATCAGGTCGTATTTCGCTTGTTTCAAGTATACTTCCTCTCCTGCCCCCAGAGCTCTATCCCCCTTCCCGGCTTTCTGTTCCCCCCTCTTCTTGTACCGCTGTGCGTCGCGCAGCTGTGCCACATGTAGGTTCTCCAGCGCCGCTGGTAGTAGTTCCCGCAGGTACCTCGCCCTAGCCTCCGCCAATCCCACCCAGTCTGACTCGCTTCCCACCCGCACAGTCCCTGTCAGGATCCTTGGCGCATCCACAGGTAACACGAGCTCTCGTCCTAGTAGAAGGTAGTACAGTGATAAGTCCCTTTAGGCCGCCTGCTTGCTAAACCTATATCCCGCGGCCACCCACGGCAGCCGCACGTCCCAATCCCTTATAAACCGCTCTCCATAAGCCCTTAGACCCCTCTTGACCGTCCGCACAAAGCGTTCTGTGAGGCTGTCACTTTGCGGGTGATAGCGCGAGGTTCTCCTATGAGTGATGCCCGTGGTCCGTAGTAGTTTATCGAACTCCCCCATAAACTCCGTCCCTTGATCGGTGAGCATTTCCCCACACGCCCCGAATCTTGTGAGCACCTGTTCCTCAAAAGCTTCGGCTATCTTGGCGGAGTTCTTGCTGGGGAGGGCCTTCACTTCGACCCACTTGCTGCCGTGCTCAATCATGATCAGAATGTACCGCTTTCCCCTCCGGCTCAGCGGCATCTCACCGGCCAGGTCCAACGACCACCGGAACCCGATTCCGTGGATGGGCAAGGATTGCAGCTCCTTCCTGCCCCACTCGAGCTCTGCTTTGTTTCTGCTACAGAGCTCGCACTTGTGTACCCACCCTCTAATGCCTTTCCGCATCCCTTCCCACCACCATCCGGTCTCCACCAGCTACGTGGTGCGCAGACTCCCATAGTGTCCTAGCTGCTGATGCACCTGGCGAATGATCTGCTCTCGTTCTCCTGGCCGCGGGACCAACTTCCAACCATCCCGCGTATTCTTGATGCCACCGATAGTGAGCCCCTCGAGCTCGGGCTCGGTCGCTGACCGTGGTTCCCTCCGTGGTCTTCCCTTGCACCCAGTCTAAGACCTCCTGATCTTCCCATACATCAGCCGGCCCTCTTCCTTTACCTCGACTGGCTCCCTCAGCATCTATTTCTCTCGCCAATGCGACTAGGCAGGCCGTAGGCCGTTGAGCCGGTGGGTTTCGCGACAGGCCGTCCACGTGCTGCATAGTCTTACCCACCCTGTGCCTGATTGAGAAATCATATTTCTGCAGGAGCATAGCCCACCGGGCGTTCCTCCCCGTCAGCGCCTGGTTAGTCATCAGCCACGTCAGCGGTTGGTGGTCTGTTACAAGCTCGAACGGCCTCCCTTGCAAGTACACTCGGAAGTGCGTGATCGCCCATACAGCTGCCAGTCCTTCTCCCTCGTACGAGCTGTAGTTCGCTTCTGCCGGGTTACAGCTTCGGCTGGCAAAGGCCACGACTTTCTCCTCGCCTTCCCTCTTCTGACACAGGATTGCCCCCATACCCGCACTGCTCCAGTCCGTATATAGCACGAACGGGTCCTCTTCGTTGGGCAAGGTCAACACCGATGCCGTTTTCACCGCTTTCAGCAGGGCCTGCAATGCCCCCTGCTCTGCCTCTCCCCATTCCCACTTCTGGTCCCCTCTTAACAGCCGGTTGAGCGTGGCGGCCGTCTTGCTGAAGTTTGGTATGAATTTACGGTAGTAGTTGAGGAACCCGAGCACCGCCCT